CTCACCGGATGCCACTCTCCCCTCACCTTCTGCCCTCCAACCACACCCGCCTTTGCTCTGTTAAACACATCTTTCCTCTGCTAAAACATTCCTCCCAAGTCCTGTGGCTGCTGCCGCCTCACTCTCCAGCCAAGCTCCTACAGGTGCTCAGAGGGGCTTCCCTGATGGCTAAACCGTCCCTCCCCAGTCCCATGGCCCTCCTCACTCTCTGACAAGGTCTCGTGTGTTTAAATATGAGCTCCAGGAGAGCAGGGGCCTTCTGTTCTGCTGGTGTATAGCACGTGCTTGGAAACCACAGACTGAATGAGTGAATGAATGAATGAATGGCAGAAATAGCATCTGCCGCCTCACGTGTTGCCCGGGATGGCCCTCCTCCCTTCTCCCCTCCCTCTGTCCTTCCAGCGGACTGTGCTCAGCTCACTCCACTGGTCAGCCCTGGGACCTTCCCCTGGGAGCCTGCCCAGGTTCCCCCACACTGGTTACCGCCGTCTCCTCCCTGTCTTACAGCACCACTGAGGCTGTCCTTAAGAGGGCCACAACCCTGTTTTTCCCTGTGTAGCCCCGCAGTCCAGAGCCCCTGGCCCTTGCTGGCCAGAAATGACCTATGAGTACAGAACAGAGAAGACTTGGTAGTGGCATGGCCCCAACCCTCTGTTATAGATGGACAGACAGGCCCAGAGAAGTTGGGTGGCTTGCTCAGGGTCACGCAGCAAGTTAACATAGAACAAGAACATGGCTGCCCCTGACACTCTGCCCGAGGAACCCCACCCCAACGCCTTCCTTGCTCACGCTCGAGTGGTCTATCAGCGCTCCCTTGTCGTGTGGCCCCCAAACTCCTCACCCAGGCACATGAGCCTCCACAGAGTCTCACCCTGCTCACTTCCCCTCTTGTTTTTCTCCCCTGGTGCCTCTGATCCACCCAGAGTAAAGTACTTTGATTTCTCGAAAGCCCCCGATGGGCCGTCACACACTGCTGTCTCTGTCCAGTTCTTCCTGTCCACACCCCCCTCCCTGCCCCGCCTGGCTCACTTCTCCTCATTCTTGGAGACCCAGACTGCTCTGCTGAGAGGCCTTCCCTGACTGTATCCCCCTTCTCAGGCGCGGGGTGGTGCCTCTTCTCCTGGCCGCCTCGAGAATCCCAGTTAACACAACGCCCCTCCTCCGGGCTGTGAGCTTCTCCCGCGAGGGTCTGTCTTGTGCCCTCAGTGCCTGGTGGCATTGGGCACGTGATAGAGGTGCCTTATCAATGGCTGTTCAGGGACTGACTGAATGACCAGGGTGCCCAGCTGCCACCTGGGCGTGCTGCCAGGGGGCTCGCTCTCAGAGCTTCTCTGTCTGCACCTGCAGCTCTGGTAGACTGCTTTCTATCTCCCTCCACCTCAGCAGTGGTGGCCGCCCGTCTGTGTACCCAGGCCCCTCTCATACCCTTTTCCCCCATCCGATTTGAAATCCCTAAAGTGTTTGGGTCCTCTGGGTGAGTGACATTTGCCTGCCAGGGTGACATTTAAAAAGGGGACCTGAGGAAGGAACAGTGCTCGCTGCGAGGAAGTGAAGTACTCGTGGTGGAGTGACAGGCTGAGGAGCCTCCCAGCAGGCCCCGCAGTGAGCAGTTTGCACAGGCAGGTGTGGGCCGTGCTCAGTCCCACAGACTCACCGAGGGAGCAGAAATAGAGAGATTCTGATCCTGCAGGCCCGGGATGGGGCCCTGGAGGCTCTGTATGCTGAAAGCTCTCAGGAAACAGATGCACGGCCAGGGCAAGGGAAGGGGGGCCCCAGCCTTGGCCTGTCCCAAAGGCTTGGCCACCCAGCCTCCAGGGCTGTGGCCTGGTCATGCTCGTTAGCACTCCCCGAGCATGTCGTGTGCAAACCTGTGTCTTTCCGGATAGTTCCTTCTGTGGGGAGAACAAATGTTTCCTTCCTTTGTCTGATAGAGATAAACAACAGGCACGGCGGGAAGAAATATGAGTGCACTGCCCAGCAGTGTGTGACCATGAAACCTTCTGGGATCATGCTCAGAAACTTGCCCCATGGGAGTCCCCAGGGTGCTGGTTGGAGGGGAAAGTGCTCCAGGCCAGGAGGGAGCTGGGACTGGCACAGAGGAAGCAATTCCTCTGGCTGAGCCATTCCCACGTACCAGAGGACCAAGTACGGGCAGAGGTGTAACCATCCTTCCTTCATAGATCAGGAAGCAGAGGCTGAGAGAGATTAAATGCTTGCCCAAGGTCCCACAGGAAGGAAATGGCAGAGCAGATTACTGGGGAATCTGACGAGAAGGTTCCTGCTGGTCAGGGCCGGAGGCTCAGGGCCACATAGGGCATCAGAAGCTGGGAAATGTGCCTGAAGTGCAGTCTGGTTTGTCAGGCTTCTGGAGGGCCAGAAGGACCCTCTAGGACTGAGCCTTTGCTACAGGCACCAAGCCAGGAGAGGAAGGAGCCTTGGGGCGGGCGTCCGCGTTCTGCCTGCATCACTCACTACCACCAACACCCACTGCCCAGGACGGCTGTGAGGCCAGGTGAGGCCCTGTCGATGGCAGCCCTCTAAGGAGTGCTCCTTCATGGGCAGAACTTATGTTTAGTGGCAGGGACACTGGCTCCCTCCACCACTTGATCTCAGGCAAATCAGTTCACCTCTCTGAGCCTCAGTTTTCTCCTCCATGCTGTGTCATGCACCTGGTCACCCCTCCAGGTTGCTGTGTGGACCGCATGGAGCTCGGTGCAGGGGGGTGCATGTGAAGGGCTTAGCCTAGGGCTGCAGAGGCAGAAGCCCTCTAGGGAGTGGCTGGACTGGCCAGGACACAGCACAGTGAAACAGCCACGGCCTCCTTCCCAGCTCCTGATGCAGGCCACACCCTGGTACTCTCCTGAGCTGGCCTAGTTGGATGCCCTTTTCTGTCTTATAAGGACAACTTCCGTTCGCTGAGCACCTGTTACATGCTGGGCCTTCATTTCCCTCCACCTCTGGAGAACCTGCACAAATGTCCTGACCCTTCGCCTGATGCCTTTAGCTCCATCCTGGCCTTTAGTTGACTTCAATCATACTAGTAATACCGCATGCATTTTCTTTGTAAGAATTAAAATGTTACAGACAAGACTAAGGTTCCCTTTGGCTACCACCAACACAGTCCAGTTCCCCCAGGCTTATCCACCGTTACCACTTTGGCTGGGCCCTTCCAGACCTCCTTCTATGCTTTATGTTTGTGTACATGCTCCTCTTCCTCTCCTCTCCAGAAGGACAGGCAGAGGCGGGCGCCCCAGACAAGGAAGCTAGCAACCAGCCTGCGAGCAGCGACGGGACCACCTCGTCTTGAGTCTGACCTTGCCCAGGGAGGCTGGACGAGACACCTGCTGCGGATGGGGAGCCCTGGCACTGGCCCGGCAGCCTCTTCTCTGAGCTCTGTGTCCCCGGCAAACCAGCCCAGACTGAAAGGCACTCCTGGGGCCGTTGTGGCCCCTACCCTGGGAAGGCCCTCTGCCCGCACCCACAGGCTCCACGCTCCACCATCTCCTCACCATGGCCTGATACACTTTCAAGACGGTAACCACAGGCTGTTCTTTATTCAGCGGGCACGGGGACTCAGGGGCTGGGCCCTGCCCACCTGGGTAAGCAGCCCACCCGAGAACGCTCCTCTCACAGGCGTCCTGGGCAGGGACCACGTCCCAGCTCTGCCCCCTCTTCAACCCTAACTTTCTGGGTCGAGACCTTCTTATCCTTTTTTTAAAAAACACTTTTAAACTTTTTAAAAACTTTAAACTTTTTTCAGCAGAGAGGGAGCTGACAATTCACTTTTTTTTTGGAAACCATGGTAAGCTAAACTCTTTGACCATCTATGCAGCTCTGAGGTTCCCTCATGGAGCTTCACAGATCATTTTTAGGGAAGGGATTTTGTGCTCAAAACTATCAACTCTTTGCCCTTTCTACCAAGATAAGTGACACCTAGGACCCAGGAAATAAATGCTGATGATTTGTGTGACTGGTTTAAGATGATTATTTCTCCTTTAAACAGCACACCAGGGGCTGGGCCTTGTTTTCCCCAAGTCCACAGTTAGCTGGGACGCATTGCTGCCCCAGGCGTCCATGGAATGAAGTACCTGAGAAGATGCTGGTGTTCCGCAGAGGTTGGCGCCACTCCTTAGGGCCCGGTGTCTGATGAATCTTCCATCTCCCCCCCTCACCCCAGTCCACAGCTTCAGGAACCCAAAAGGAAGGTTTTCCCCTTAAAACTTAGAGTAGGAGGGGCTAAGAGTTCAGGGAACATTTAAGCTGACAACTTTCAAGAGAAGGCTTATTTCTTCTGGAGGGAGGGGAGGCTGTAGGCCCCTCTTAGCCCCCAGCAGTGAAAGCTCTGGCCTCCCAGTCACAACCCTCACGGGGCTCTCGGGGCCCTGCCATCAGGCGGGCTGCCCAAGTCTGGGAGTCCCCAAGGCTCCCTCTAGTCTCACTTCACCCAGGACCACAGCACCTCACACCATGTGCTACACGACACCAGACAGTAGCTTCTTTATTGAGCACCAGACTTTCAGCCATGAGTCACCACAGGAGGAGGGTTTCAGAGTTATCTAGGCCCTGGCCCTGAGCTGGGCACAGAATCAGAGGAGAGGTGTGGCCGTGCCGAGGTATGCGTGTGTAGAGAGACGAGCACACAGCCTTCAAGAGCATCGGTAGCTGAGTATGGAAATCATAGTCTTCCCGGAAGGAGTACAGGTAAGAGTGTCGCTTGACCCCACAGAGTTGTGAAGACTCCATCCACGGGGTAAGGGCACGGAGAGGCAGCCATGACGTCTTCAGTTCTTCCCGGCTTGCCAGATCAGAGAAGCAGAAAGATTAGGCAACTGGTAGCACCCAGGATGTGAAAAAAAAAATCACAGAACATCAGAGCCAGAGAAGAATCCCCTTCTACAGATGAGGAGACTGAGGCTTAGAGCAAAGGAATGCCTTGCCAAGGCCACACAGGAAGGAAGGAGCAGAACAGAGCTGGGACCTGGGCCCAACTCCCTGCCCTTGGCTTTGGGCGGCCATGAAGATGCCCCAAGTGGCCAAGACCTTTTGTACTAGGCTTCAGAAAGTCTCCCCTTTAGCCTCTAGACAGCATTATACAGAAAATAAGCCATCTAACAAGAAGCTGTCACCAGCCAGGGCCCTGTAACCAGGGAGTCATCACATATCCATGGGTGCTGCCCAAGAAAGGAAGGGAGGGCATATTGCTAGGAGTCCTGCAGAAAGCCAGGCTGGATCCAGGGCAAGTGAACGGCCCTGAAGCTCAGACAGAATGTACCTGCAGTGGCCGAAGATGGCATCCCATAGGCTTTATAGAGCAGCTCAAGAAGCTCCCTCTTCTCATCTTCTGGGAGGAAACTGGACTTTGCCGCATTGATATTCTGGAAGAGCCAGCATGGCAGACAACATGGAACCAGAGGACACAGAAGGGAACCCGTGGCAATCTAGTGATGGCCCATCCTCTTTGTTAAATATGGGCAGTTAAGCTCAGAGGGAGAAGGACTTGTCCAAGGTCACACGGCAGCAAGTGACAGAGCAGACACCATGAGGTTCTGTGTTCTCATAGTGGCCCTTCATGATAGAAGGAAACTGGAGAAACCTTTGAGAGGGTGGCATGTGTGGGGCCAGACACTCCTGCACAGACAGACTCAGGGTATGGTAACCCCTAAAACCAAGGGCTCAGCCTGATCTGTGAATGGCCTGAAAAGTGTGTGCAAAATTTTAATAGCTGGGCACACCTTTCTGGGGAGAGTGTTGACACTTTGAGGGTACTCAACCCAAGCAAAGGATAAAAAACCTAGTCCTAGGTCAGGACGTCAGCCAAAGATGTCTTCTCTGTGGAAGGCATCTAACTCTCCATCTGGCTTGGCCTGTTGAGGCCAACTCACTCGTCTCCAGAGGTTCCAGGCCCTGGACAGGGCTTGCAGGCCTCGCACACTCCCAGGGCCCAGAGTCAGGGCTGACAGGGCTCACACTCACTCACCAGTCTCTTGAACTCCTCTTCGGTAAAGCCCATGTCCCGTTTGGTCATCTGGTAATCAGTATCCAGGGTGGACTTGAAGACGAGTGGGTCATCGGTGTTGAGCGAGTAGTTAGCCTGGTCATTTTTGAACCTGGATATAGGGCGGGGGGAGAGAGGGAGAAGAGCCTCCCTTTACTCTTCTGTATACAGTCACTGTACACCGACTTCCACACTCCTCTGAGCCTCGTGGCATCCTTAGATAGACCTGGAAGATCTCTTCATTGTACAGAGGAAGAAACAAATCCAGAGAATGCGGGTGACTGGTCCAAGGCCACATAAGTAGCAACTCCAGACTCAAACCCATCCAGCCAGGCCAGAGCCAGGCAAAGGCAGACGAAGAGCCAGGTGGAATGGGGGCTTGGGGAGGCCACAAAAGCAACGCCCTCCTCCAGCCAGCCTTCCCCTTCACGGCCAACATTCTGGGAGAGTTATCCGCACCCTACTCCTGTCATCGTCAATCCCACTGGGACCCAGCTCTTGAGACACACCATGGAAACTGTTCTTGGCTCCATCCCCAACTACCGTCTTGTTAAATCCAATGGACCTTTCCTAGCTCATACCTCACTCAACTCGGGTAGCAAAATTTTCCACTGTTGACTATTCCTAGAACCTTTTTCATCAATTTCTTGGACATCACACTTGGCTCTCTTCCACCTGTCTATTCCGCCTGTCCCTTAAGTGTCACTATCCTTCTGGGTTCTATCCTAGGCCTTCTTGCCCCTTGTCTCCTGAGGCCATCCCTTCTCCTTCAACCACCATATCTGTGCAGATGACTCGAATTTTTCTCCAGCCCATGGGCTGTGTCCCCATGTGCCTCCAAGAACTTCCACTTGGACAGCTCAGAGGTACTGCACATTCCACGTTCCTAGAGCAGGACTTAGACCTCCTGTAATCAGAGTGTCAGAGCCTGAGCTCTTTCCCTTCTCATAAGCTTGGCAGATGGACCAGTGCTGGTCTGACCATGGTCACCCCAGGTTCTTGCTGTCCTTATCCTGTGTCAGAGAAAGGCTGCTTAGCCCTCCTGAGGCCTGATGCCACGCCCAGGGTTCAGTCATAGGACAGCCTGAAGAAGGGCCAAGGCCTAGACAGACTGCAGGGTGGGACCAGGGTAGGGTGGGACCAGGGTAGGGTGGGACAGACCCTCTAGGGGAAAGCTTCAAGATGGTGCTCGGGGCAATGCCCATAGGTCCCAGGAGCAGAGACCATGTGAGCAGGAGGGACTCATCTTCCCCATGCCAAGGAGGCAGAATCTAGAGTGTGGAAGCTTCCCTTGGGGTAGCAGGACATTCTGCTATAGCTGAATGAGCTATAGGCCCCCAGCTCTATTATCTAGTAGCTGGGTGATGTCGGTCACCTTAACCTTGCCTGCTTCCCAAGGATTTGAAGAGATTTCGCATCCCGAGGCCTAGCCTCGACATTTCCTTCCCACCCTTGGCTTTCCTGGTACAAAACTGAAAGGGGCCCCGGGAAGCAGGCCTCACCGAACGACCGCGTGCTCCGTGTCCGGCTTCCAGGCGCGTGTGAGGTAGCTGGACCAGGGGCAGACCTGGGAGAGCAGGCGTGTGGCTGGCACGGACACTCCCAGGCCATGCCGACCCCTCCCCTATGCCCTGGCGCTGGCGCCCCCTGCTCTGGCACCGTTCTTGCCACGGTCACCCTGGCTGCCTTGCTGCTGAATCCCACGAACGGCAGTCCTGCTCTTCCTCCACCACCTCGCTGCCCTAATGCCCACTCCCGCCATGGCTTGCCCTGCTCCTTCAGCTCCTGGGACCCTCTCCTGGCGTTCCACCTCTCTGAACGCCCCCTCCCTGGCCCCCTCACCTCAAAGTGCATGTTTTCCTGCCGCAGCCTCTCGTAAAGGGCCTCGTCCTCCAGGGTGTCGTAGCCATGTCCCACCCTCTCCGCCTTAAGTATATCCACAGCCTGCAGAGAAGCAGAGTGGAGCCCAGTACGGGGTGGGGAGGAAGCGGGGAGAAGGGCCCCACGGCCAGCCCAGCGTCCTCACCTCTCTCACCGCCTCCGCGGAGCCCACCTCCCCGGCGTGGACTGTGCGGTGAATGCCACTCTTCACAGCTTCCTGCAAGGGCAAGCGCCAGGTCGCGGGCAGCCCGGGGAGGCCCCCACGGGCCCTGCCTTCACTGCACTTTGGGTGTGGAGTTTGGGCAGGCTTGAACCATGGCCACAGTCTGGCCGGCCTGCTTCAAGATGGGGAAGTCTGGTCTTTTATTTTCTTATTGTTATGTAAATGGTAGCTGTCATTTATTAGATAGGTATGTGTTAGGCACTCTACGAAATGGTTTGTGTACATTATCTTATATTCATAGCTATTATAATCCTTATTTTACAGCGGGGGACACTGAGGCTCAGGAAAATTAAGTAACATGACCAAGGGCAAACAGCTGGGAAGTGGGGAGCCAAGCTCTGAACCTGGGCAGTGAGACTCCAGAGCCCCCGTCTTAACCCCATGCTGCACCCTTTCACGGGAAGGGCATCATCAGGCTTCGAGATGTCTGCTCCAACTCAGTTATCCCAGCAGATGAAACGGAGGCCCAGAGAAGAGACCATTTTGCGCAAGGTCACACAGCTCACCATAGGCAGAAACAGCTCAAATGCAGGACTCGCAATACCAATGGGGTCTTTATACCAAATTTCCAGTTTCTAAAGTTGCCAGACCCAACTAAGACACACTTGGGAACCCAGAATGCCTCACACTCCCCAGTCTGTGTGACTTCTCCCTCCTGTGGGTGGAGACAAGCTCACCCAGTGCCAGCCTCTCCTCCCCTCAGGACCCACCTCGTAGGCTTTCACGTGTCCTGGGAAGAGGCTGCTTCCTTCAATGGTCTCGTCTCCAGCCAGGTCTATGGCCACCACGGTCTGCTGCTGGTACTTCTTACAGAGCTCCAACACCTCGGGGGACCAGTCTGCAGGAGAGATGCCCACCTGTCAGCAGCATCGAGGAGAGACATCCCTCCAGCTCTCCTGCTGGCTGGCCCACCCACTCACCCCTACCCACCACCCGAGGCCAGCTCAAGACAGAGGGCCCAATGTCTTCCAACCTGACTGCCATGGCCTAACTACACGGCTCTCAGCAAACTGCTCTGACCAGGGCCTTGTTTCTCCCCGTCTCAGGAACACCACCCACTACCACACAGGGTCACGGCAAGTCTCTGCCAATGCCAGTGTGAAAAGGACCAGGGTCAGGGCGTGGGCTCAGTAAGGGACACATGGGCGTTCTTGCACTTGATCCCCACGATAACCCTCAAGGTGGGCTTACTCCCACCTAGCAGATGAGGAGGTGGAGGCCCATACCGTTTAACATTTAAATCTAAAACATAACTCACACTGGTGTTGCTAAATGTATTGCTAATGGACTATGGACCCTTAACCAATAAAGTTATCATGAAATGTTTAAAAAGAACGAATAGTCACAGGCTTTGGAACCAGATGGCCCTGGGTTCAAATCTGGACTTCGTGCCTTCCTGATTGAGGAACAAGAGGCTTCACGCCTTTCTGCCTCAGTTTCCTCATCTGTCAACTGGGGATAAACAATGGTGGTCCTACCGCACGGGCTGCTGCCAGGACTGAGAAAATACAGGCAAGTCACCTGGCACAAGCAGGCCCTAAAGGGGGCATTCGCCCTTTCCTTTGGGTCTCACTACTCCTCAGAGCGGAGAATGAGGTAAGCACAGTCACCTCCGTGACAATGCGTGTCTGAGGTCCAGAGAGGTGCTGTGACTTGCCCAAGGTCACACAGTGAGGCTCTGCCCCTTGGAAGCTCAAGCCCTGGAGATCTGATCAGTGTCTGTCACAAGGGAGACCCCTCAGAAATCCCAGAAATCAGACCTGGGATGAGGCCTGGCCCACAGGGACTCAAGGGAGGACCATGGGCTTAGATTTTTTCCTACTGTTCAGGCTCCTCTGGTTTTGAGCCTCCTGCAGGTCACGTGACTGTCAGGCCCCTGTCTCCCTAGGAAGAGAAGTCTCTGTTGCCAGGAAGTTCTGAGCCTGCCCAGGGAGGCTGTGATGGCTTCAGGAAGCCCCAAGGCCTGCTGATGGGCTCCAGGGATACCATGGGGTGGTGGGGGCACGGGGGAGAACCAGGTCCAGCCCCAGTGCCAGGCCAGGAGGTTGGGGTCATTGTCAGATGGGCAGGGCAGGGCCAAGGTCATACTCACTGGGCTGGTCGCGCATGCAGCACAGGATGGACCGCACCTTCACCCCAAAGTCTCTCTCTCCCTCCTGTAGGCCCTGGCTCACTAGGGCCACCACCTCATCCGGGGTGAGGTCCCCTCTGTGTGGGGAGAGGAGTAGGGATGGGCCTGAGACAAAGGAAGGTCTAAAGGACAGCCCTGGGACTAGCACAGAGGATGGGGGAGGGGGAGGAAGGGAAGGAGGGAGGGGAAGAAAGGGAAGGAGTGA